TTTCGTGGGCATTTTTAGGTTTCAGTCCAAGAGCACAATTTCACCGGGCAGCCTGTAAGCCCCAAAAAAATCACACCCCAGGAGCGGCTAACATCAGCATGGCCCCACTGCAACGACAGCTGCGCTTTGCTCACACTCGGGGCTTGGCTGGTTTGTACAGCGGTCCCAAGTGGAGGGGGGGCACCGTACACCACAGCCCCACACGGACTCACCGGCCCCGATTCTGCGTGTTCCCCCAGGAGGAAAACCCTGGCAAAGGGTCAAGTGCCTCTCCCAGTGGTATTTGCCCAGCGCTGGCTTGGCATCAGCAGCCTGGTCTCCACAGCAGGAGACAGTCGAAAATGGAGGGTAAGCCAAGAAGCCTTTATCATCTTCTGATGATATTCCACCTGGGTGGAATAAAAGGCTCTTTGCCAGGCGTGGATCCCACGAGGGAGCATCCAGTGGAAGCATCAGCCAGAAAGGAGACACCATTAACAGCCGTGCCTCTCAGACACCTTCCATCAGCTCAGGCAGCTGAATGCTAAAAAGCTTTGAGAAGATGAAGATGGGATCCGCTCTCTGCCTCATACGGGCACACAGAGCTCCCATCCCAGGCAGGACAGACCGGCAGGTTAGGAGACTGCTAGATTAAAAATGTGTAGGTAATAATTCCCTTGTGGAAGAGTCTGTTTAGACTGGGGTTCTTCACCCAAAAACAAAAGCAATTTTTACTTGCTCATCTGGACCTTCCCTTTAAATCTTCCCTTTAGTAAGTCAAACATTCTTTTAGAAGAAAATATTTAGCGTTTCACACCAATTACCATACACTGAAATACTCCAAGTGATTTGAAATAGCTGCTTAATTTTGCATGAAACTAAACGTTTTGCTGAACACAACACTGCTTCCCAAACAGAACCACAACTATAAATGCATAGTTAGCAAGTGTAAACATTACTGCTACACTGTAGGATAAAACAGGCAGAAACTTGAACAAAAAGCCCCAGCAGACCTAGACAACCCAGCTCACTAGCAAAGCTGAAAAAACCCAGCTTCTTTAATACATATTCCCATGAAAAGCTAGGCTATAAAGTGCATTCTGGCTAAATCCAGTCACCTGGGATTCAGCAGGTTAGTCTGGATTAGGTTTAGCTAAATCATAACTTACAAACTTCAATGGAGGCAGATGGATCAGTTAAAACAAGGATTTGAAACACCTAGTCTCTCCCTACAGCGCCAACTCCCTCAGAAATACATAAATTAAAAATAATAATCTCATGCCCACCATTTCCCTCACCCCAAACTAGGGCTGGAAGGAACTCCTTTCCCCCTGCATTAGTGTCTAGCACTTCTGTGCTATTAAGGCTGCCCTGCGGATAACCAGGTACCAGGCCACAGAACCCCGCTCTCATTCAGCATCATGCCATCATCGGTTGGCGAGTGACATCTACTGGCGAGCTGCACAGCGCAGGGCACCCGGCCCGCGCCTCCCCGCCCCAGCTCTGCTCAGCCCCAGGCAGCCGGTGCTGTCAAGAACACCCACCTTTCTGAAGCTGCAGTTCATTAACCCAGTGATTTCCGAACTGGGATAAAGGAAATGCTCACCTGCCTGCACTGGTTGTGTCCACTTCACAGAGGGCCTCAGGCTGACACAGCCCAACTTGCTGAATTTTCTGTCTGCAAAACAGCACTGTCTCTCAGCCCAGCTTTACTGCATTACTGGCGATTACTGGCAATGACTGTCTTCCTGGGCAGAGCAGAGAAACTGCCTGCAGCACTTCTGCACTGCCATGAACCAAGGCTCCCCATTCCTCCCTAAGAATCACCTCTACACACAAGCAAAACCCTATGTCAGTAACCACCAAACCTACAAAGTTCCTTTTCTATAACCTGTTTTCTAATCACAAGTTATTTCACTACTGTTGTTACACATGCCAAAGATTTGAGTCACCTCTCTGCTACATGAGCTCTAGATTTATGCACTTAAATAAGACACAGTGATGCAACCAAGGTGGCATTTTCACCTATTTTATTATACACAAAACATGAGCAGGAAGTTCTACTGAGGAGGCTGACCACGTCCACGACCAAATCCACCTCTCTGCAACAGAAAAGGAAGAGCATTAGAAGTCACCGTATTAAGCAAGTGACAGCAGCAAATACACAGCAGCAAGAACCACCAACATCATAAAAGAGCTAGCCGTCTTTCCTCAACTTTGCACTGCTTTGATAAGCATCCCCTGCTCCAAGCATAGCCTAACCCTGATCCGTTTAAGACTAGCTACCTGACACAGGTTGAACCAGATGAGCAATACTAAGAACAAAATCAACCCATGCTAGCCAGCTCTGTGGATCATGTCTAAAACTCCTCTATTTCTGAAGTATAAAATCATGCATTTCCACCAGAGAGCTCAGCTGGTTTCTCAAATGTGTCACTGGCTTCCCATCACAGCAGTGAGGCCATCACATAGTTTCACGAACACGAATGCAGCAAGCAAGCTGGGCATAAAGGGTAACAGTCACCAGCCTCTCTTACACAATCAGAGCCAAATCCCTAACCCCAGCTGGCAAACCTGCAAAGCACCACACTGAAGAGCATGCAGATACGACCTCTCCAGTTTCTCCTAATCAAAGCCTCAATAAAAGGAAACAAATCTCAAACGCAAATACTCACAAACTGGAATTCAGGGGCTGCTCCAGCCCCAGCCTCAGCCTTCTTGTCAGCGCCAGCTGAAGAGAGAGAAGAATGAATTACTAACTGAAGAATCCACTCCCCAAGTACAGTACTCCTGCTTGGAATCAAAGCTTTACAATCAAAAAACGACTAAAACTGATGCTAAACATAGCAAAGTAAAATAGCTATTATTGAGACTGTTGGAAAGTTACTGAACCCACCCCAGACAAAATCCCACAGTCCAGCTTGACAAAATTCAAAGGACTCCTATCTGTAAGCAGATACAGATGAACCGTTGTGCAAATGCCTAAGCTACACCAAGAGTCTAATTTTTCCCTTTTCTTCTTGAAAGGAGGCCAATACTGAAGACAATTCTCCCAAAGAGATAAGCTGCACAAAGAGCAAGGTCGGCCTGATATTCACAGAGCAACACGATGGACACTCACGTGGAACAGCACTGCGTCTGTACGTGTCCCTGTCAGCTTCTCCCCGAGTAAGACGCGCAGGGCGTTCACCTTCCAGACCTGAAAGTGAAAACAGCAACATCAAATACACTGCTTACCCAGGACACAAAGAACTCATTCCATGGGTGACCTTGCATTTCAAGGTAGGAAAAAAGCCCTCCAGTTAAGCACTGGATCTACTGGCAGAGCTGCACCTTGGACAGCTCAGTGTATATAAACCTAAACAGAAAAGTGACATTATAAGGAAAACTCAACTTCAAGGGAGAAACCTGCTAAGTGCACCAGCCTGTGCTTGGGTTGAAGTTAAATAATGTGAAAAATGGGTTTGCAACATCATCTCAACAGCCTTCTGGCCTTCAAACAAGAGTAAAAAATTAAAAAAAATAAAAATATCAGAAATACAGGGAATCTGTCACGTCCAACAAGCTTGTTCATAGCTAAGTCACAAATTGCATGACATTCTGATCCCAATCTAAAATACAGCTACACTATCAGTATCACAAATCCTCCACAATGGAATAGATTAATAAAACTAAGAGCAGATTATCTATGTAACATCAGATTAATATCAGACAGAACACTTGCAGGAAAGAAACAGATGTGGCGGAACTGCCAACCTTTGCGCCATCCTTATGGGGTTCGCCTTGAGCATCAAAGATGAAATGCACTCCCACAGCACCAGGCCAAGGCCTTCACGCTCAGGCAGTAAGACACATTTACGGGCAGGTGCTGCCTGGCACACCAGTGTACTAGCAGTCTCAAGTACACTGCAAGAAACACCAATCATGCACTTCTACAGGCTGGATTTATACTATAGGCACTAGTTTTCCCTTACAAAAAACAGTTCCCATAATAGATGCCTTTATTACAAAGAGAAACACTACCCACTGATTTGCAAACAGATTAATTTATCCTACAAGTGCTTCTATGTCTTTCCTTTCTGTCAGATTAAGCCATCATAGCACATCCCCTAGCCAATGGAATTTTTTTTTTAAACTTCAGATCCGTCTGTCTGTAATTTCTAACAGTTCAATTACATCTGTAACAGAGAGACAAACTGCAAGTTATCAAATACCCAGCAGTCTAAAACCTGCTTTAGACTAACTGTTCCAGCTTTTGTACCAAGCCTTACTTCAGAAAGTCAGCAGCACTGCATCGAAGTACCAGAGAAGGCCCCAAGAGGTCAAGCAAGACCCATAAGCTTGGATTCTGCACCACCATCCACACACACCTCTGCAACTCCGAGTCTGCTGCAGCCTAAGGCAGGTGATCCACAGAGAAACAGCACAGAAACAGACAATTTGTGCAGCCCTACCAGCTAACCCTGCCAAGGTGCAGACTGAATGAGGTCACTGCTCTGAAAAGGGCTGCGATGCTGCAGAGTGAAGCTTCCTGGCTGCAGAAACCCTGAGCAAATTTTAGCCAGGAACTGTAAACCCCACCCTCCCATTAGATATGCAGTTTCTTTAGCTTGCTGGATAAACACAGCATCTAAAGAATAAATTTTCTAACATCCAAAGCTACTCAGAGATCAAAGAAACCATCATCTTCCTAGTTTCAATGCACTTCTTTCCTTTGAAGCAGATTATGCTACAGTTTTGTTAGGCTAAAAAACAAGTTGCAGAAAATGGAGGTGAACTCCTCAGCACCCCAGGCGCACAGTCTCTGTTCCCAGTGTCCAGTACTTGCTGATGGGATCGATCTAGCTCAGAAGCAGAAGGAATAGACTCCCACCATCTACCAGAAAGAGGTCTGTCATGCAGGACTCCCATTTCAGAGGGCGAGTCCTTTAAGGGCAGGACAACATCCTATAACATCATTCTTTGTAAACACAAGAGGCAACTCCACACAAGGCAGGCAGACGTACCATCTCCGGCCTTGAGGGAGAAGAAACACTTCTTGCACCTACAGACCTGGCAAGGCTGTGCTGCCAACCATGGCTGCAGTATTTTCTCTTTCCTTTATCTAAGTTTCCAGAAGTTTTTATCTCACCAAAGGTCTTCTGGACAATTTTATAATCCATGTTCTGCATTGTGGTGTTTCTTCTCTACTACTGGACAAGAATCAGGAAAATTAAACAGAAGGGATTTTGCAGAGCATTTCTAAATGTATAAGGAACGCAACCATCCTTCCTATTCTGAATTATTAGCTTGGAACACAGTAACCTTTTCAGAACTGAACCGAGGCGCATGGTGGCTTCAGCACATCCACCTCAAGTTTATTTATACTGCACTACTCTATGACTTTGCCCACCACAAAGGGTATCAAAACGGTTCACAAGCCATTCACTGGCCAATACCAAGCATTCACAAGGAAAAAATGTAGCTTCTGCCTTGTGTGGACTAGAGAGGCAGGTTTGCAACCCAAACTTTCATATTTAATATTGTTATTTGCAACCGGAGAAGAGTACCTTCTGGAAATAAGTTTCAGCCATCTGCAGGTGGGTCTACAACACATTTTGCAGGAGGCACCTGTGCAGAGGCAGCTGCAGGCAATCTGAGAAGTTGGTATCAGCAGCACACCTGTTTGCATGACCAGCACCTCCTTCACTTTGGGGTATGAAAAACCCACCAAGAAAAAAAGTCAGAACTTCAAGCCCAATGTATCACATGTATTTGCTGTAGATCTTTAAAAAAGTGCAGGCAGCTTTAATAATGGGACTCGCCCAACACCACGTTAACTGTACATGATAAAGGCAGAACCATGGATATCCAACTTGACTGCAGGTACCATGGTTGAACCCCCATGTGAAGCACATCCAGCACCCGGGCTAAGCTTTCGCTTTCAGACATCAAATCCTGTGCCCATGTGCTACGCACGAATTCAAGTTTGTTCCCTACCTCGGCAATCATAGCCTAGGACACTCAACTTTTACACAACGGCCTCCCAGGCAGTTCTTCTAAGGATAACTCAGCCAGAGACAAGGTTCTTTGTACCTGCCTGATAGAGAACCGCAGTGATTGCTGCAGGTTCTTCCCAAAAGACAAGAACAGTTTTTGAAAAGCCCCGGCAGCTGGAGACATCCCCTGTCTCAGACCTCAGCCATGTCTGGGCACCAACCGGTACCTCGATCCACAGCCTGCAGTTTTTGCTCTCAATAATTCCAGTCACTTGTGTTACCAGAGATGGCCAAGTCCCACACTCAAAGCATTTCTCCCAGTCAGTCTCACAGCTTTCTTTAGCTCTCTCCAACTTTTCAGTAGGCCAGTGGCCACCAGACTACCAGACTAATGCCAAATACATAAGCAATAAAATCTACACCCGTCTCCTTGATTTACTGATGTTTACACATCCAAAACTCACAGCAACTCACATCAGTCTGCTCTGGAAGCTGACGTTCAGCTGACTGTCCACCACACCTGCACCAACATGCTTCAACTCCTTCCCTGCCTCCTCCTGCTGACTCAGCAGTCATCTCTCAACCACTGCTTACCTTTGGGCCGTGGTCTGCCAGTCTCTGGGCGGCTCCGGCGCAAGGTTGCAGGGACAATCTCAGGGGGAAGGTGAAGGTAATCACGCAGGTACTGGATACCCTCATTGGTCAGATACCAGTAGAAGTGCCTCCACGCAAACTGCTCTTTCACATAACCACGGGATTTCAGAGACTAGAGAGAGAATTCTCAATTACTTCACATATAATCCTTATCACCATCCAACATCTCCGATCAATACCCTCACCAGATGTTTTTTATGAACAAAAGGGCTTATCAGGGGAATGTGGAGAATAAAAATTTAGAAACAGAAAAAAGTTCGCATGCACAGGACAGAATTACAGCATCATTCCCATTCTGTGAGGAAATACAAGGCTACCACACACAGAGGTATCATAGCTTCAAAAATGGAGCTAGAGCTGTGGACCCACAAAAGAATAACCTTCTACAGTCTGTGGAGAACAATACATCAAAGAGGAAATAGCAAACAGGAAAATGGTAAAATAACTGTAATAAAAAAGCAACAGCAAATGCAAAGCAACGTCTAACAATGTTTATTTGTAACGGCTGACAATGTTTATTCACAGGTACACAACAATCTCAGGTGGCCAGACCCCAGCCCACTGGCAGCCCAGCCCTCACAGCCCGCCCTCGCCTCCATACCTGCATGGCTTTCATGACATGGAGGTTGGGCACATTCTTGTCAACAAGCTCAGGGTGCTTCGGCATGTGGACATCTTTCTTGGCCACCATCACTCCCTCCTTAAAAAGGAGTTCGTAGATGGCAATTCGGTTCTTCTTGGGCATCAACATCTAAACAAGAGATAAGCGGCAGACAGTAAACACTGCTGATTTAAAATAAATGCATTCAGGAGTCTACCAGAATGAATAAAATAACAGTGCTAGTTCATATGAAAAGCCTAACGCTCAAATAACACCTCCCAGATTACTGTCTCCTGTAAGAACTTTCTGAACTACTTTTCAATACCTGAGCTGCTGGGCATGCCTTCCCACTGTTTTCATGTGAAAGAAAACTGAGCCGTCCAAACTTTTGATCATTAACATTAAAACACATCACCATATTAAAGACTGTAAATTACGTAACGTGAGACAAATCAAGAGACAAGGGCTGAAGCAGGTGGGGGAGAGACACAGCTTGGGGTAAGGCATATTTTGGCTCTAGCACTGGCGCCAGAGGCCTGAGGACACTTGTGCTGCTGTTGTTAATTCATGCTTAACTCGGGAACTGGGGAAGCCTCTCACACTCCCCTCTCAGCCCGGCAGCACACGTCGCTCACACGGGAGCACACCCGAGGCCCGTAAGCGTGCTCCAGAGCCGCGCTGCCGCCATCGCACCCCAAGAAGGAGACGCTCGACTCCAGGCGATACTTCCTGACACGCCGGGCCCAGGACGCTCTGGCCCGAGCAGCAGGGAAGTGCAGGGCTCCCGGAGCTCAGGGCACGGTGGCATACAGGGAGCTGCTGAGCGG